ACTTCACTGTGTTCCTGGGGAGTCAACTGTGTAAAAGTAGAATGAGAAGCAAAATGCCGAGTTTCAGGCTGTCATTATTCACCTGTCCACAGTCTGGAAGGCTTTGTGAGGCATACGACATTTGGTGTTTTTTTAATTTTTTAATTAAAATTCTTTGATGTTTTTTGCTAGTGTTTTTAGATACTGAGGTGCTACTTTTTATCATAGTTCTGAGCTTTCATTTTATCTGTCAGAAGACTAAGATAATGCCCTTGAATTTTTCAGGGTACTAATGTGGAATGTCATATTTTTTATTACAGTTAAGAGTTTGTATTATAGAATAATACAGTTTAGGTGCATACTTGAATAATTAAGATAGATGTATAGATGTGCATATATTACATGATCATAGTAATGAAGTCTCTTTTTTTTGGTCCAAAGCTGAAACCACAATTTCTCCCTAAATATGAAAGCTACCTGGATCTGTACTCAATCTTTGCAGTCTGCTTCTTCCCCTTCCCCCCCAACCCCCAACACTTAAATAATACTTAGAGGAGTGACATTAAGATGGTTCATGTCGTTTTAAATACTTGAATTCTTTAAATTAAAGCACGTCATTGAGTGGCACTTAGCAATTTTAACAATGTCCAGCATCAAACATTTTAGGAGAGGAAAGAGCAGTAACACATCCAGTGGAAACTGATGGCATTTCAGGAGGCAGAAGGTAATTATTAAAATTAGAATGTTTTAAGTTTAAATAAGATTTGGTGTTTGACCAACCTTGGTGCCACGAAGCCAGAAGCAGATAATGCTCAGGTGGCTTATGGAAGCTGGCCCGGAGAGATGGAGCCAGGCACTGACTGCCAGTCTGGTGCTTCACCACACTGACGTAGGCTTGTGACTGGGGAGGATAGCACCAGAGTCACCTGTAGGACCAAGAAAGCGGAGCCTATGAGCGTCATGTCAGAGAGCTCTGTTTTGTATCTCCTCTGCTGCCAGTGTCAGCCGTGAAGGTATTACTAAAGGTGAAGGAGGTTACCTTTCGTTGCTGTGTAGCTGAGGCTGCCAAATAGCTTGGAAGTAAATAGAGTATTAATTAGAGGGGATCTTAATTATAATGCTTAGCAAGCAGAGCAGACTTCATCATCATGATCAAATAGCTTCACTTTTAATGCAAGACTGACCCCTCGGATAATGACATACCCTTCTCTTATAGTAAGTTCTTGGTTATTTTCACTAAGCCTCTTATGGCTACTTGGTAAAAGATGGTGTTAGTGTAATTGGTACTGCTTGTTTAAACCCTTAGTCTGTCGTAACTTTTTCTTTTTAAACTATCACTTATTCATGCTCTTTACTCTGAAGTAACACTTTGTTCTTTTTGCCTAAAAATCCAAATTAAAATTTGTGAGGGGATATTTATTCCATTATGTGGAAAAGAAGATATCCCTCTTAAAAGCAAGTATCGTTTTAGAAATTTTAACTGATTCCAAAAGGGCAAAAACCTGGTAAATATAAGAATTTTTTGATTTAAGAAGTTGATTAAAAACATTTTCTTAAAATCGTCTTTCTTCGCCTTTTTTAACATTTTTTGGGTTTTTTGTTGTTGTCATTACTTTGTTTCTAATATGAGAAAATGTATAACTTAGAGGATGGTAAGTTTCAAAGTTGGCAAATAGTAAAATATTTATTTATATACATTTGCAGAAATGCTTCATCAATTTACTGGAGCAAAACACAATGATTCTCCTTCTAAAGAGAAAGTAAAGGTAAGTTAATTCTTCCTTTTTACCGTAAAAGTATGTGGGTTCTAACTCACTGGTACAGTAGTCGCTTTCCTTGATTTGATTTACATGATAGAGTTGTCACTCATTTCAGTTTCTCAACTAAATGTTCAAAGATTTCTTCCTAGAAGATTGAATAGTGAAACTGTTTGGTTACATTTTTCTGATAAGATACAACTTTTCTTTTTTGGAGGGGAGATAATTCATTTATTTTTTTTTTTATGGAGGTGCTGGGGATTGAACCCAGGACCTTGTGCATACTAACAAGCATGTGCTCTACCACTGAGCTACACCCTCCCCACTCAGTAAGATATAACTTTTGAATATTAAGTCAAATAGGTAAGTAGAACAAATTATAGGAGTTTGGCTTGGTCTTGAAAGTCTGCATTCAGAGGGACAGTCTTGGTGTCCCTGTGTGCGCGCGGCAGGGTGTGAACGGTAAGGTGGAAGTTCTCAGTAAAAAGGTGGCAGGGGAGTGGTAGGCGGGGTGTCTGCAGATGCAGCTCGTAGTAATTGCCAGCATTCATTTCAGCACGTCTGTGTTTGATTAGTAGTTGACATGCTTTGAAAAGGATAAGAGTAGTTTTATCTTTTGCTACTCATTCAGGCTGTCATCCTCGTAAAACTCTTAATCCTTTGTACCCGTCCCAAATGCAGAATTACACGTATAGACCTTTTTTTAAGTCACAAACTTCTTTAGCTTTAGCATGCCACTCGAGGTTGGGGGAATACGACATAAATAGCACTGTCTCGAAGGAGCTGTTAGTTGTGAGAAGACAATAATCACGCAGTTAGGAGACTGATTAGTGCAGTAGTCATCTGTATTCATAATTTAATCAGAAATGAAGGAGGAATACGTGTGTGTATATATGTATGTGTATATAGACACTGTATGTGTCTATATATACACACACCTGTGTATGTGTATACGTATACTGTGTATGTGTGTATATGCGTATATATACACTGTACACACGCACACGTGTGCTCACGCGCGCACACACACACACGCACGTGCTGCCCAAAGAAGGGAATGCTTAAAGTGGGTTTGAAATTACAGGGGAAGGGAAGAAATGGATAGTATATTGACATACTCATGGGGGACCTACTTTTTTAAACAGAGGTAGTAGCATGAAGAGAGCCAAAAAAGCACAGGAGGGGTGTGCAGGGAAATAGGGCAGCAGAAGGTCCTTGTAGGGGGTTTGCTGGCTTTGGAGATGTGACAGAGGGCTTTGTACATCTAGGTGAAGTGTTGCTGTTGAATGCAGTCGGCGGGAGTGAGCGCTCAAAGGCTGCTGAGTAGGAAGAAGATCCAGGTGATCGGTCTTGCCATAGGTATCAGTGGTGTCAGAAAATTCTGTCAGTGCGAACAGACTCTGGAATCACTGTCAGTACACAGCATGTAGAATGCTACCTTTGTGATTGGTTTGTGGCCAGGTTTTTTTTTTAATGTCACTCACTGAGGAACAGAATTCTCATTTATGATAAAAGAGGAAACATATGCTCATGAATAAATGCACATATTTGTGCGCTTCAGAAAATGATGTTTTGCTGATTTAAACCTCAGCATTTGACTTTGGCTTTGGGCTTGGCCCTGTATTATGTTTGGGATAAACTCCCAGCAGCCTTAGTTTCATTCAGGCTGGCGTAGGCATTCATACACTTGCCTTATCTTCTCACTCTGACCCCTTTATTAGATGGAGAAGAGGACTGTTTTATTTGTCTCTGTACTATCAACAACTCACACCTTAGAAAATAAGGTACCTGGGCTTTGAAATTGTAACTTAGCTTGCCTCTGAATAGTTGTGAGATTTTAAGTAAGTTATCTTTATTATATCTGAGTTCTTTTGTAAACTGTAAATGGGGATAATAATTGTACTAAACTCATAAAATTACTGTTAGAATTAAAGAACTATATAAAGGGCTTAGCCTGGTGCTAAATGTTCACTAAATGTTAGCTATTACACACCTTTTACTTAAATAGTTAAGTGAATACTGAATCAGAATTTGTTGGTAATCTATGGGTCAACCATCATGTGATTGTTTTTAAGCCCTCCCTCCCTTTTATATCTGTAATCCGCTAAGGAAAGAGGGGTAAAGGAAGTGTATTAGTCTCTAGATCTGGTACAAAACTCAGTCTTTATTGTCAGTAGGTCTCAGGAAAGCATTTGAAAGTAAGCAGCACTGGCTAATAACGTGCGTGTAAGTCTGCGTCCCGGTAGCTAGAGTCGCAGTTTTCGATGAGCTCCCCTCACGAGCTGTGTGAGGGGCCAGCTGTTTCTAACCCTTAGCTTCCTCATTTGTAAGACAGGGATGGTTTCCCCTTGTAAGTGTGTGTGACTTGATGTTATGTTCAAAGGCGGCGTTAAATTATGTTCTGTCCTCCTGTGCTGGTTTTCTTAGTTACACTTCTTGTGTGGTTAAATCTCTGTTTACCTTTGTCTTAACAGATACAGTCTTCTGTGCAAGATGCAGCCTCTGGGAAAACTACCCGTGCTCATCAGACCATGTGTTCAGGCGGAGCAGCACCAAATCACCACCAGTTAGTGCTTGATCGTCAAGGATCAGAACATTTACAGGGTGTGGAAAACACGTCAGCTTTGCAAATCGTGCCTCCTTCAGGTAGGAAATTAACAAGTGAGTGACCAGTTGAACAGCTGATTTCTAAATCTACACATGAAAATGCTAAGATCGTCCTAAATGTTATGTATCTGGGATACTGAAAATCATAACTAGCAAATTCCATGTTAGAAATAATCACGGAAGCATAGTGCTTTGCTCCCAAAGGTACGCATTACATTTGAATGAAAGAAAAGTGTATACAGTTCACACGCAACTTACTTTCAGATGAATTGGTATGTGGGCCGTGTATATAGAGCTGTCGCTGCCGTGGCTCGTGCTGTCAAGCTCTGACTCGGGAGATGTTGCCCTCATTGCCATGAAGTCTGTGTAAGTTGGAAAGGTAGACAGGAATAGAGAAAGCACATCGAGAGATTCTACAGGTAGAGAAGTGAGGTCATAAAGATTAAAAATAGTTTACAGTTAAGGAAACGTGGGCTAGAAATACTTGCCTAGTGGTGGTTCCTGTTACCAAAAACATCTTCCAAAACTGGAAATCTGTTTGCTGTTAGATTCATGTGACTTTATAAACGCCTTACCTGTTAGTCTTACCAGAAGTGCAGGTACGGCGTTCTCAGCTTGTGCCCCCTGGACTGCAGGGCACAGGCGGACGCTTCTTTGACAGTGACGAGCCCAGCTCGTGTGCTCAGGCCTAGACCCGAAGCAGGTGTGCACATTCCACATCCGTGTCTCCCTCCCTCCAGACTGCTCCCGGGTTTCCACTCGGCCTCCAAGGGCAGGGGTTTCTCCACAGCAGAAGAAATCTCTAAGCTGTTTTACTGCAGCACAGACAAGGGGAACAGAGACATTCTGATCCTCCTCTGTTGCTGTCAGTAAGCACTCCCTACTGTTCTGTGCTGAGTATTCCATTTTGTGTTTAACTCGAGTTGTAGCTCTTGGCCGTGGAGGAGGGGTGGAGACCAACACCAAAGGCAACACTGGAGGGCACCCCGGAAGAGGCATAGACAGATTCAGAGTGTGAAATTTTTATATCCATCCTTTTCTGGAAAAAGATTCTTAAGATACTCGGGAGAAAAACTGAAGATGTTGTTCTAGGTCATAAATCACCTTAAATACCAGTGCACTGAGGTCTACGTTGAGCTCTTTAATTTTGTACACAACAGGTAGCTTTAAACACGAGCATAACAAAATCAGATTTTACGTTAGGAAGAGATTGCTGCTTACTGTGTAGGGGATGGACTAAGATGAAGATGCTCTGATGTGGTTGGGACCATGCAAGGAATCGAGTGCTGTAGTCTAGGAAAGAAATTACGGGAACCAGAACTAAGGCAGTAAGTACAGAAAGGAAGTGGCTAAATTAGATATTTTTGTGGCAGAATTACCAAGCTTTATTAGAGTAAGTGTCTTACCGGAGAGTTATCTGATAGTCGGGTTGAAAATAAGAGGCAGTGCTCATTTTGAACGTGTTTGAGATGCTAAAGAAAATCTAACTGGAATTATACAACTAGAAATAGGTTTCTGGAATTAATAGGGTGTAACAAGAACTATAAGGATTGCCAATATGTAGAAGCTACGTGAAGCCATGAGAATGAATGAAAACATCCAGGAAAATGTGCAGAGAGGGAGGAGGAGGTAACCAAACTCCCTTAGTAAAAGTAGAAGAAAATAAAATAAGTTAACAGAAGAGGAAATTAAAGCTAAAAGGAAGAGGAAAATGGTATGATAGAAGCTCAAGAGGTACGTGTTTAGGAGGAAAGCATTGTCAAGGGTATCACGTCCCACTACGAAGCGTTAAAGAAGGATGAGGAAGGCGGAGAGAAGGTTGAAACTGGCCAAGTGAGACTTTCTGCTTTTGCAGAGTCTTCCTTTATGGCCATTTTGACTGGGGCAGAAGGCAGATTGTTGTAAACTGACAAGTAATGGAATCTGAACATAAACCGGTCTTTCACATTTATTGGTGAAGACGGGAAGGTAGCTGTAGCTTTAACAGGAAGGTGGGCTTTTTTATTTTTGATTTTTGTAAGACTGGGAGAGGTGGTTTTGCTTTGAGTTTTGAAACTGAGAGATTTGAAAACATTTGAAGGTTGATCAGAAAGAACCAGAACAGAGAAAAGTTGCTGTTTTCATTATAGTGCATTCATAGAAGAATGGCAGGGATAGCTTTGAAGAAGAACAGAGACATTGAAAAGTAGTGGAAAGAATGCAGTCAAGATGGTCTTTTGTTCCTATTTTAAGAAAACATCCTACCCATGAAAATCAGGCTTTAAATGTCTAAGTCTTCGGTGGGGGTCGGTTTGTGCCTTCAGCTTCTGATGCCGAGTGGCTGTTCTGCTGTGCTCAGCAAATTTTTCAGAACCGGAGTGGTTTGCATTTGCCAACTGTAGGTGGCACTGTGCCCAAGGGAAACTGCTAATGTATATAAGCTATAAAATGTATATGGAATTTTACCTTTCTGGAGTTTGATCTTGGTGGAAATAAATTTTTGGTTAAACCATTACACAATGAAAGCAGAAATGTTTCTACTGAAGTTTTCTTGTGGTTTGGCAAGAGTGTTAGAGTACAAAAATACTTAAGTTGAAGTTTTAAGTGTTGTCAGTTTTCTTCAGAATCTTTGCTATCTTCTCCACATGAACTGGAAGATGTCTATTTTTTTTCCCTTAAAATAAGTTGGAGTTTTTAGTCACAGACGATTACTAAACTTATCTTTATAGTTTATCCTTTCCCCAGCTCATAAAAGTCTTCCCTCAATTGTATTAAGAATTTTAAAAAAATACGCTATCATGAAAGTGTGACTGAACATGGCAAGTGGAAGGTAAATCAAGGAGTTTTCCATCTAGTAGGAAAAATCAACAACTGGTCTGTAAAGTAAAAATAATGTGCCCTAAAAGAGGCAAAAATGAAATTTAAGGAGATGAGGAAGGTAGAATTGCACAGTCTCTTTGAAAGACGTGTATTTGTGTATATAGGCTTGAGAAGCATTTTTGATGGAGGGAGCAACACATAGGAAGGTGTTCAGGTGACCAGTAATTCAGCATGACTAACGCTTTGGTTGGATAAGCAGGAATACAAGGAAATAAATTTGGAAAGGTAGATGAGGTTCAGACCATAAAGAACTTCAGTACCTGGAGACTCTGAGCTTGACAGTCACGGTGTAGTCAGTGGGCAGCCGGCGAAAGGGTTCCGACAGAACACGCGTCAGGGGAGTTAGCCTCCCGGTGCTGTGTCAGGGCGGCTGGAGCACCGGCGCGTAGGGACCAGACAAGGAAGAGGCCGGGTGGGCTGTGGGAGTAGTCTGAAAAAAATTAAGCAATGGAAAGAAGAAAAGGGGAAAGTGAGAGAAAACACAGGGGCAGCGTAACAGCTCTCCCAAGGGTGAGAACACGCTGGGTTTTAATAACAAAGCCTGGGCGGCGGGGGGCGGGGGGACGGCGGCTGGTCACAGATGCAGGCTGGCGGGCCTGGAACCCAGATGGAGAGCAGAGGTCTGCGAAAGTGAGTTCCGTAGTGTGTGGAGGAGCGGAGGGTCATCCATATGAAAATGTTTTCAGAGAGTTGGACCTTGGCTTTTGTGACACTGTTCTCTTGACTGTCCCATCTCTGAATGCTCCTTAGGAGGTACCTTCTTCACCTGCCTTCCTTTAAATGTTGGCAGTACTCTGAGCCACATGCTCAAGCATCTTAAGCGTCTTGTCATTTTGCTTTTCTCCAGGCCTTTCTAGCCGTGTTCCAAAGCATGACTTTCTAAGCCAGGACCCCCCCCCCCAGCTCTCACAGCAGCAGGCTTGGAGCAGACATTCCGTTTGCCCTGGTGTGCCACACGTGGGTCATTTTCTACTCACTATGGCATGTAACAGGCTGGAGGCTCCACTTATACATTCTCCCTGGGCGCTTTCCTTGGTGTCTCTGACTTCTAGTCTCATTTTCACAGCTCATGCATCCAGGCCTCAGACACGTTCATACAACTCTACCAAGCATCTTAAACAGCACACGGGCATCTCAGACACAGCATGCCAAAGCGGACTTCCCCCTTTTAATTCCCACATTTGAATCTTTCCTCTTTAATTCTTGATCATGGCACTGTCACCGCTTACCAACTTAGTCATCCAACTGAGTCATTTATAATTTACTGGTCTTGACATGTGTGCTCTTCCTGCTCTGACCCTAGGCAGAGAAGGGACGTAGTTCTCTCCTGAGAGCTATTCTCCCTGTTTTTCCACTCCTGTCTAACTGAGAAGACGTAGGTCCGCTGAGCCTGGTCGGGACACGCAAATTTAAACTTTGTTCTTTCATTCAGGCATCCGCTGACAGTGTTTTGTCTCACCCTCCTGTGCTCACTCATCTCCTTTAATGGACCTTCCTTCTTCAGACCTCAAGTTTAAGTAGTGTGATTCAGCCAGATAACCAAAGGGACCGACGGGCGGTAGAGGCTTAGGTGTCAGTTCCCGTAACTCTAGGTGACCAGGATTTTATGAGCTTGAGCCAGTTAGTTGGGACCTGCAGACAAGAACTGGAGAGAACTGAAACAGAAATGACTCAGGTAAATTTCATACCCGAGGATGCTCTTGGTCCCAAGTGGCAGAAAAGTCAGCTCCAGACTGGCTCACACAGTAAGGAATTTCGACAGCATGCACACCAGCAGTCCGGGAGCAGGTCCGTCACTCAGGCCGGGCCTGCCCGAGGGGCGAGCTCTGAGCCCGCCCCTGGCGTCGCTCGTAACGGGTGAAGTGCTCGTGTGAAGGCTTCCCATCTCTCGGGACTGAGTAGTCTATCCCCGTCATCTCACGCGACATTGCCTGTCTGACTCCTCTCCCCTCACAGGGGACTTCAGGTGTCCTGTGTCTGTCCCCTTCCGTTCTTTGTCTTGCCTTTGTCCTCACTTTGGCCACGAGGAAGCACTTGCCCCTGGAAGCCCTGCGTTGGCTCCGGCTCGCCCTCCTCTAAGTGGTGCACTGGTGTGGGGGCAGGGTCTCCGCTACCGGCCCGGGGAAGGCCGCGCCTGGGACGGAGGTCCGTGCGCAGGCAGGGCCGCTGCGCCCCGGGCAGGGCTCCGTAGGTTTTGGTGGATGAGCCACAGTGTCAGCTGTGCTGTATGCTGACAGAAAAAAATCAAAAAAGACGAAGAAGAAGAAAAGGAAGGGAGGTAAGTTTCAAGTGAAAAATGTTTATTTTACAGTGTAACAATTCCCCGACTAAGAATACTCCAAAATTAAGAAGCATAAACCATCAGTTATTCGCCATTTGTGGCCTAGGGGAGAGAAAGGTCCGATTGTGGAGGCTCAGGATGCAGTGTCTTGACTGTACTGTTCTACTGTTGCATGCAGGAGGTTCTGAGCAGCGCCTGGCTGTCCCGCCTGCGTGGCATCAGGCCGGCGGTGACGACACAGTGGCACCAGAATCAGAATGTCACCTTCCTATGCAGAAGGTAAGAGTCATCTTATTGTTTTCTCATAAATCTTGAAGGGATTTAAAATCAAAGTATGGAAGTAGTACAAGAGGTATTTTAAGCCCTAATTTGAATGAATTTTTGGATCTCTAAGACTAATTTTTGCCTATTTGTTAAAAAAAAAAGTTAAACTGTGAGCAACACGTGTCCCCACTTTGTACATTAGTCCCCATACTTGTGTTTAATTGTAAATTCTGTAATGTTTGCCAGTTACCCTGATTTTGTTTTTTATTTTTGTTTTTTGTTTTTTAGTGGAGGTCCTGGGGATTGAACCCAGGACCTCGTGCGTGCTAAGCATGTGCTCCACCACCGAGCTATACCCTTCCCCCTACCAGCTATCCTGATTTTAAAACATGTTACAAAACTATCTTTTAGAATTTGTTATGGTAATTTCTTAATGGAGTCTTTTGTGCACTTAATCTTCAGCCATACACTGATCACTCTTTCAACAAGTACTCCAGATGTTTGGGATGCATTAGGTACATCAGACACTGTTCTAGACATTTGAATCTAGTAATTCTCAGAAACCATGAGTGAGATACTCACATAGCCCCCTTTTTCCCTCCCTCTCTCTCTCTCCTTTCCTTCCATTCGTTCCTTTCCTTTCTCACTGTAAATACTTCAGAGGACAAATCGTTCTGTGTGGGCGTGCTAGGGGGTCTGACAGTTCACCGCAAGGAGCACAGTGCTTTGGCGCTTATGTTTTCTTGTTCTTAGAATCTCTGACTTTCATACATAATGCTCTGCTAATAGTTATGATCATCAAAGAGTCCTGTGTTTAATTTGGGTGATTTTTATTGATAAGAACCATTTTAAAAGTGCTTTTTCTGATATCCAACATAATTTTATTTTACTGTTTTTTAAATTTAGTGTTACTGTTTTTTTATGGAGGCGCTGGGGATTGAACCCAGGACTTCATGCATGCTAAGCTCGCACTCTACCCCTGAGCTACGCCCTCTCCGCTATTTTATTGTTTTTTTATTTGGACAACAGAAGTGTCATCCATCTTCTTTAGGATGGAAAGCATAATGCAGCAGTTTCTCAAATTAAATCTTGGTTTACTATGCACTAAAATCTTTGTTTCTAACTTAACAAGACTGTAATCGAGGCTGACCCATAATCAGGTTTGAAAGCAGCAAGAAGATTTTCAAAGGGGCAAAGAGGTTACAGCAAAAATAAACAGCAGAACATCCAGAAAGTGTCAGACCATTGAGGCCTGTGCCGGCGGTAGACATGACTGCATCCGCTGTCTGTCTGTCTGTCCCTAAGGCCTCGCGCGTGGCAGGAGCTCGGTGTTGAAGTGACAGCCTCTGCAGGAATGGGGCCGTGTGGCTTGTTCTCTTCGCAACACTGTTGCCATTCTTGGTGTCGTTTCCCACCCTTGCTTACTCGTCAGCAGGTGACCGCTCACCTGAAAGGGAGGCTACAGAATTTTGGCGCTAGGAGAGATCTTTGAGAATAAACTGTAGCCCAGACAGTTCGAGCACTTGCCCGAAGAAGAGCTGAGATTAAATAAAACATTTCAGCAAACTCCCAGCCTCTTGTCATTTTATTCAGAGCAACACCTTTGCTGTTCTCTTACTTCTGCCTCAAGAAAAGCTACCCTTCTTGCCAAGACTCCTCTCTGTTACTTTCTTTCATTTGACAGAGACGTTTTGTGGAGCTCTCCAGCCATCTCCGTGGTCTCTCTCATTCCTTTTGTCTTATTTTCCCACCACCTGCTTACATTTGAAACCAGACTTCCTCAGTTATAGCACTATTGACGTTTTAGGCTGGGCAGGTTTCCGCTGGGAGTAGGGCTGTGCGTTGTAGGGTGCTTCCCAGGAACCCTAACCTCTGCCCACCGGGTGCTGTACACCCTCCCCACCACTGTGGGACAAGCAGAAGCTTGCTCGGACGTTGCCAGATGTCTTCCCGGGGCAGAGGAGGACCACCCCTAGTTGAGAAGCTGTGCCTTAATTTTACCCAGAAGATAATTGTTCCCTTGTTCCTGTAATTTGCCCTGTCGGAGGAACCAGTTGTGTCTAAGACTGCCGCCTCCTTCCCTGAGTCCTGGTGGGGGAGGGAGCCAGGGCCTTGCACTGCTTCTCTCTGACGGGACATCCGCGGTGGTCGGTTACCAGGTACAGTCTCTCTGCAGAGGACTCAGGTACACACTTCTAGACCTGACTTCCTGTGACTTTTAGTCACTTTTGACTTCTCAGTCCCCTGCAGCCGAACAATTGCTAAACTCTCTGGGTTTTACTTTCAAGATATTTCCTTTTCTACTTCCGCCCCACAAACCGGGCCTCACTGCCTTCACTCCGAGCTCGCTAACATTCACAGCTGGTCGGACTAACTGGAGCCCTCCTTGTTCTGATCGCTTCTGCCTTTAACAGCCCTGCGCTGCTCCTCCCCGTGTGCTGCTCTGAGCGTATTACTGGTGTGTACAGACCTGCAGTGGTTCTAACTTGGGCTCCAGAATGAAGGTGAAACACCTTCACATCATGACGCCAGCCAGCTACTCAGCCTTCCCTGTCTGCCTTGTGACTCACTGGGACTGAACTTCTCACTCCTCCCCAGATGCACCTGTGCTGTTCAACTGTCATGTTCTTTCTTCAGTGAGGAGTGCTTTCCATCCTCAGCTCTGCCTGTCAGACGTTTTATTCTTCTCTGTGATACCTGAAAACTGTCCTGAACTCCAAACCCAAACGTGAACTTCCCTGTTTGATGGTCTGCCAGAATTTCATTGTGATTAAACAGAAATTTCAGGGACAGAGAGACCAGGATTTCATCCTCTCTTCACTTCCTAGTAAATATGCTACCGGATGTTGCCTGCCCTGGTCCACACCTCTGTCTGAAGGCAAGATTCTTTGCTGACTCAGTAAAAAACGAAGTCTGAACAGCCCATTCCGTGGATAGGAACAAAGACAGGTTTAATTGGCAACATAGAGGAAGGACTTAATAAGCACAGCTGGGCGGCCCGTGGTGAAGGCGTTTGTGTGGTCGGGGTGAGGAGGGCTGTCTGACTCCTTTTATTACTTCAGGCCGGAAATTAAGAAGGCTTGTGGATGTCTCTTGTCACAAATTCTCTTTCTGCCTTACCTGAGACCGTGGACAAATTTCGACCTAATGGAAACAAAAGAAAGGAGCGAGCAAGCGTACTTACTACGGAGGCGGTGACCAAAACCAGGAAGTTAGGGTGGTTAGGCGCCGCGTGGCCCTCTCCTTCACTGCTGACAAGCAGATGAGCTCTTTTTTTTAACTTAAGGTAGAATTGACACCAGACATTACTAGTTTCAGGAATGCACCTTAAAGATCTGATATTTGTATATATTGAGAAATTGCCCCCACAGTAAGTCTAGTCTGTCACTCTCCCAACATCATTCACATTTTTTTTCTTGTGATGAGAACTTGTAAGATCTACTCTGAGCAAATTTCAAATATACAATAGCCTTATTAACTGTAGTCACCATTGCTGCACGTTACATCCCCAGGACTAATTTTACAACTGGAAATCTGCGCCTTTTGACTCTCTTCATTCATTTTGCCCACTTCTCACCCCCTCCTCCGGCAACAACCAGTCTTTTCTGTCTATAAATTTGGGGCTTTTTTGGGGGGCTGTTGTTCCTTGTTTTTTTTTTTTTAAGATTCCACATATAAGTGAGAGCATATGGTATTTGTCTGACTTAATTTCACTTAGCATAATGCCCTCAAAGTCCATCCGTGTTGTCGCAAGTGGCAAGATTTCCTTGGTTTTTTATGGCTGAATAATACTCCACGGTGTACGTATGCCACGTTTTCTTCTCCCATTCATCCATTGACGGGCCCGTGTGTTCCTTCCAGTCTTAGCTGTTGTGAGTAACGCTGCAGTGACCAGGGGAGTGCAGATCTTTCTTCAGGATTCTGCTTTCATTTCCTGTAGCCGTGTACCCAGACGTGGGACTGCTGGGTCATTTAGCAGTTACACTTTTTGGGTTTTGAGGTGCCTCTGTGCTGTTTTCTATAACAGCCATATCAATTTAAATTCCCACCAGCACTTTTCTCCACATGCTCACCAACAGTTATCTTTTGTCTTTTTGATAGTAGCCATGCTGACAGGTGTGAAGGTGGTATCTCATCGTGGCTTTGATTTGTACTTCCCTTCTGATTAATATCCCATTATGATTGGTGATGTTGAGCACCTTTTCATGGATTTAGTGGCCATCTGTGCGTTCTCTTTGGAAAAATGTCAGTTTAGATTCTCTGCCCGTGTTTTTTTCAGCTTGTTTGTTTTTCTGCTGTTGAGTTGTATGAGTTCTTTATTTGAGGTACTAACCTTTTATCAGACACACGGTTTGCATGCATTTTCTGCCACCCAGCGGGCTGCCTTTTCATTTTGTGTTTGTTTCCTTTGCTGTGCAGAAGCGTTTTAGTTTGATGTAGTTCCACTTGTTTATTTTTGCTTTTGTTGCCTTTGCTTTTGGTGTCAAATTCAAAACCTCATCACCAGGATGGATGTCAAGGAGCTTAGCACCTGTGTTTTCTTCTAGGAGTTATAATTATGATTTCAGGTCTTATATTCAAGCCTTTAATCCATTTTGAGTTGATTTTTGTGTATGGTGTGAAATAGTAGTCTAGTTTCAGTCTTTTGCATGTGGCTAGCCAGTTTTCCCAACACCACATATTAGAGAGACTGTCCTGTCCCCATTTTATATCCTTCACTCCTTTGTTGTGAATGCGTAAGTGCATGCATTTATTTTTGGACTCTCTATTCTGCTTCATTGAGCTGTGTGTCTGTTTTTATGCCAATACCATACTGTTTTGATTACTGTAACTTTGTAATATAGCTTGAAGTCAGAAAGCGTGATCTCTTCAGTTTTGTTCTTTCTCAAAATTGCTTTGACTTTTTGGGGGCTTTTGTGGTTTCGTACACATGCTAGGTATTCTATTATTTTCATTGTGGTCAGGAAAGAATCTTGACATGATTTCAGTCTTAAAATTACTAAGGCACGTTTGTGGTGTAACATTAACTATCATGGAGAATGTGGCAGGTTAATTGCTTAGAAGGGCCATCTAGACATGTAATACCCAGTGTCCAAAATGATAGCTACTAGCCACATACGGTTATTGAGCCCTTGAAATGTCTAGTGCAACTGAGAAAACTAGGTTTTAAAACTCTGGCATTATCTTACTTTGTCTCTGATTAATCGTTTGTATATTTTTGCTTTATTTTCCCCATAGGATCATAAATATCTTGATAAGTATCTTGATTACAGTGATCAGTTAATTTTTATATTTCTTACAGATTGTCATACCCTTAACATATATGTTTTACATTAAATTGAAATAATTGTCAAGCATGCTATTTTAATTTGATCTTAGATGAATAATTGAATTTAGCTAATCTGTTATGCTATTTCTAACTTCAGAAACCTTTAACATGTTTACTAAACTTAAGTTTAGTAAAATTACCTGAAGCCTTTGGAATCTTTACTTTTGATCCATTACTGTATCAAAAAATATTGCTTTTCTTCCAAAATTTAGTTGTCATCTTTAGACATAAACTGAATCAGATATTTGTTTCAGGATATAAAGATCAAGAATGCAGACTCTTGGAAAAGTTTAGGCAAACCAGTTAAAACATCAGGTGCAATGAAATCATCAGATGAGCTCTTCAACCAGTTCAGAAAAGCAGCGATAGAAAAGGAAGTAAGAGCCCGCACACAGGAACTAATACGGAAACATCTGGAGCAGAATACAAAGGACTCTCAGGCACCTCAGGAAAATCAGAGGTCTGTAACTTACCAGGTTAATGGAGGCTCTGGGAGACACAGACATGTATTTAAAATACATTAAATTTCTATTTTGCAAGTGACTAATTCAGCAGTTAGTAGACCACAGATCAAAGTATAATTGCAGGAAGTAAGTTTTTGTTGATTGTTTTTTGGTAAGTAGTAGTATCTGTTTTGGAGAGGACAGAAATAGTCAAGTGATTGATTAAGCTATTAAAGATTCTAATACTGCTAAGTTACAAAAACATTATAATTTTCCAGGAATGTCTTCATATAGTTTCCATTCTGTGCATAAGAAGATAATGGTAAATCTTGGTCATAGTTTTCCAAAACTTTCTCTTCGTTAACAGAGATTGCCTGATGTAGAATTTGACATCAAAAATAAATCTTAAAAATAATGTCATAATATCTGAAAAAGGGTATCTAGAACATTGCATTTTATTTGTTCATTTAACAACGTATGTTAGTAACAAAAACTTTCAAGGCGCTTGAAACCTACTTTGAACTTTACTGTTTCTTCAAGTGACCATGGCTGCACTCAAGAACCTTTTCCAAATAAAATGCAAAACAAGTGTCTTGGAGCCGAGCAGAAGGAACATCAGCAGTCGCTGGAAGCTCAAGATAAAGGCAGACTCTGGCTTCTCAGAGACCGGAACTTAGCAAGGGAGAAAGAGCAAGAGCGGAGGAGACGAGAAGCAGTGAGTGGACTCCAGTTTACTGAGTCTAACCAACAAGGGAGGGTTTAACAGCAGTGTCTTCACATGTTCGAAACTGTATTCTCGGTGGCTCTGCAGTGACAGTTACCTCCTTAGTGAAGAGTTACCTCTGTAGTGATGGTCAGCTTCTAAAATCAGATTAAAATTAAAATTTCATAGTTGAAAGACACAAGTATACTGTAATAATAGAGCACCAGTCCTGGAGCTGCTAGACTTTGGGTTCAAATCCTGGTTCTGCCACTTACTAGACTTTTGGACTGGGCTATTTATCTAACCTCCCTGTGCCTCAGTTTCCTTACCTGTAAAGTAGGAATAGTAAAGGTGACTGGTGAAATGAATTTACACATACTCAGCACATATAAACATGCCTGGCACATAGGTAAAATCACTTCCTGTTATTCCTCCTGAATAATCTGTAAACCTCCTGTATGAGTTGAAAAGAGACCTGTGTTTAGGATTCCTAAATATATAGAAAGTGATGTTTTAAAAAGTAGAATTGATTCATTCTTTTATCCATGGATTGTTTAAAAATGTGTTAGTTAGTTTCCAAATATTTGGAGATGTTTTGGCTTAGTGAAAATAATAGAAAATTAATGATTTCTAATTGGATTCCATTGTGGTCAGAGACCACATAATGTCTCGAATACTTCTAAAGTCACTAAGACTTGTTTTGTGTCCCAGATGATGTTGGACCTTGGTAAATAATTCTCTGTGCACTTGAGAAGAATGTGTCTTCTCCTGCTGGTGGGCAGAGTATTAAACAAGCCAAGGTGATTTATAGTGTCTTTTCGAATCTGCTGAGTTCTTGCTGATTCTCTGCCTGCTTGTCCTGTCAGATATTGAGAAGGGCACTGGCATCTACGATCGTATAACTGCAGACTGGTCTTTTTACCCTTGTAGTTCTGTCCACCTATCTCATGGATTTTGAAGGTGTCACTAGATGCATAGCCATTTAGGCTTAATGTGTCCTCCTGATTAACTGACCTCCTTCTCATTGCAAAATGACTTTTATTCCTGCTGGTACCACTTCCTCTGAAATACAACTGTTTCACCTTTTTATGTCTAGTGTTAGCATGCTGCGAAAGTGTTCCGTTCTTTTACTTTTAACTTCCCTCTGCTTTATGTTTAACGTGATTTTCTCGCAGGCAACATGTAGTGAAATCTTGCCTTTTTTGAAAAAATCCAGTCTCTGCCTTTTATAGGAATGTTTAACCAGTTATGTTCAGTATGGTTCCTGATATGGTTAAGTTTGAGTCCACCGCCTTGCTTTTTTTTGTTTGTGTCGTCTGTTCTTTTCTTTTTCTCATTTTTCCTGTGTTCTTTTAGATTAAGCAAGTATTTTTTGTGATTCCATTTTATTTCCTTCATTGGTTTATTACGAGTAACTCTTTGTTTTTACTTTAGTGGTTGTTTTGGGGTTTCTAACGTATTACTTCAGCTTGTCACAGTCTTCCTTCAAGTTACGTTATACCTCTTCACATTTAGCACAATAGCCTTGCAACAGTGTGCTTCCATGCCTCCCCTCCCAGGCTTTAGGCTGTTGTTTAAGCAGTCAGGTTATCTCTAAAAGTTTTAAATGATATGAAAAAAATCTTACGTAGTTAGCGTTTCAGTGTTTTTCATTTGTCTAGATCCAGATTTCGAATGGTGTAATCTTCCTTTCCCCGAGGGACCTCTTTTTAACATTTCTTGCGATGTGGGTCAGCTGGTAACGAATTCTTTCAGCTTTTGTGTGTCTGAAGATAGCGTTGTTTGGCCTTTGTTTTCCATTAATATACTTTATTTTTAGAGCGTTTTAGATTCACAGCAAAACTGAATGAAAGAATAAAGAGTTCCCACATGTTCCTCCCTGTCCCCCACAAATGCGCAAGCCCCCCCCACTGTCACATCCCACATCGGTGCGGTGCGTTCGCTGCACAGTCTGTGGACCCGCATGGATACGTCACTGGCAGTCTTAGTTCACCAAGCAAAGGCCATAGCTCACATCAGGTTCACGCTTTGTGTTGTACTTTTCATCGCTCTTGACAAATGTACGGTGACGTACAGCAGCCATTATGGTGCCACCAGAGTGCCCTCCCTCTCCTGAGAGGCCCTGTGCTCCTGCTGTTCACCCTCCCTCCTGAACCCCTGCCAATCACTGATCTTTTTACTATCGCCATAGTTTTGCCATTTTCAGAATGTCATCTGAAATCATACACTATACACAGCTTTTTCACATTGGCTTCTTTCACTTAGCTATAAGTATTGAAGTTTCCCTGTGTCTTCATAGATTGATAGCTACCGTCTTTTGAGTGCTGAATAATCTCCCATTGTATAAATGTACCACAGTTTACCCACTGATAGACATCTTGGTTGCTTCAAAGTTCAGCATTTAAAATACAGCTGCTATGAACATTTGTGTGTAGGTTTTTGTGTGAATGTGTTTCATTTTGTTTTTTTTTAATTGAAGTACAGTCAGTTACCATGTGTCAATTTCTGGTGCACGGCACAGTGTCCCAGTCATGCATATATATACACACATTTGTTTTCATTTTCTTTTTCATTAACGGTTATTATAAGATATTAAATATAGTTCCCTGTGCCATACAGAAGAAATTTGGTTTTTTTAATCTATTTTTATATATAGTGGTTATCATTTGCAAATCTCAAACTCCCAAATTTATTCCTTCCCACCCCTTTCCCCCTGGTAACCATAAGATTGTTTACTATGTCTGTGAGTCTGTGGTGTGGATGTGTTTTTAACTTGCCTTCATTTTTAAAAATGTTTCTGCTGGGTATTGAATTCTAGATTGTTAGTACTTTTTCTTTTAGTGCTTTAAAGATGCCTTCAGTGTCTTCTTGCTTGCTTTGTTTCTAATGAGAAATTTGGTATCTTTGTTCCTCTGTATAAAACATGCCTTTCCTCTGGCCACTTTTAACAGTTTTATTCATCACTGGATTTTCAGTAACTGTTTTTGTCATGTTCCTTTGTGCTTTGTTGAGCTTATTGGAGATGTGTGTTTGTAGTTTTTATCAAGCTTGGAAAATTTTTGGCCATTATTTCTTCATATTTTTTGTGTTTCCTCTTTTTCTCCTTTTTGTGACTCCAATTCCCTTTATGTTGGGCCCCTGGTTGTCCCACCTCAGACATAGTGGTGGTCATCTCCAGAAGTTTGATTCAGGTCTTTTAATGTTTTTTTGTATCTCTGTTAAACTTGGAACAAATAGGATGCAGTTATCATAGCTGTTTAATGGGTTTCTCTGCTAATGCTGACATCTGCGTCGCTTCTGGGTTGATTTCGATCGATTGATTAATCTCCTCTACAGATAATGTTTTTCTGCTTCTTTACTTACCTGGTAACCAGTGATGCCAGATGTTATGAATTTTACCTTGTTTTGGGTGCTGGATATTTTTGTAATCCTGGGAAGTCATGTGAATACATAGGACATAATAGGAACATTAGCTCCAGAAGAAAAAATCCATTGGCTTTGGCTATAGTGTTGACTATGATACAAATAAATTTCCTAGGAAACAATATCCCAGCTTTTTTTCAGCTTCTCATTTATAATATGAAGGCAGAAACAGACCGCAGTCAGCAGTGCTATGACACGGGTGGCGTCACTGTAGAGCAGGGTGCACTTGCAGGGCTCTCTGCAGCGAGAGGAACATGCTCGGTGCGGTCAGACACACCAGTAGCCACGTGTTACTGAGCACGTGAAGCGTGGCTAATGTAAGTAAGGAACTAAAGTTCTTGTATTATTTAATTTTAATTAACTTGAACAGCACATTTTTCATACTGCCTTGTTTGCTTGTGTGTTAGGAGCTCTTTACTGAAACTTGACTAGTGCTCTGCTGGAAGTATGTCTCTGCTGACCCAGGATCTCTCCTTTGGGTACTCACACAGGCCTGACGCCAGGCACCCACAGGTGGTGTCTCAGCCACCCACTTGCCACCTAATAACAGCCTACCAGGTAGCCTGGTATAATTTCTAATATCCCCAGCATTTTTCTGGAACCCACTGAAATGTGACTAAAAATGCCGCCTGTCACAGCTTGACGGGCAACAGCCTGACGCCGGAGCTGCTACTGTCATCCCTGATGACCCAGACTCAGGCTGCTGCTCCCTGCCAGGTCCATCCTGTACACAGAGGCAGTCACTCGATGCAAGGGGAGTGCCCAAGAATTCACCTCATGCCCGTTCCCTCGGCCTGGTTTTTGATCTTAAACTTAAGTGGCTGAAGTGTACACAGGCCCACTGAGAAAGGAATATCCAGGTGATGGTGTCAACTGCAGAGATCCGTAGTTAGTACTTAATAGTGGTATCGAAGGGTAATTGGTAGAGACAGCAGCCAGTTCTGTATCAATAATCGTTCCACAAGCATAGATTTAGTCAAGATGGATGAGAATCTAAAGAAGAGTGCTTTTAAATAAAACAAGTTTGTTACCCCTTTTTGGAATTTTGCAGTATGTGTGAATACTTAAAGGAGTGTCAGTAATGTATGAAGTAGGACAATGTACCCAGCCCATTGGAAGGTTAAAATAGAACTTTTGAGGAACTGTTCGGGCTGGACATTAGGAAAGCAGCCTGGGTTAAGATCTTAAGAATTTATCTTTTTATGTCTAAGGCATATTTAAAGAAATTATCATAGTTTAAAAGAGTCACACATAGCTTTAATGTCCTTTTGGTAAGTAAGTCATAATCTTAAACCTCCCACGTAACCAGAGAACACGGTTCCTGTCCAGGAAGTCAACCAGCTGATCACCAGCTGGTGCTCTGACCTCCTCCTCCGGGCTGCTGCTGCTTCCTGATGAAAACAAACGGAAACATTTTTGAAACGTCCCTAGTTTGTGTCATTTCAGATGCAGCAAAGACTGACTTGCTTCACCAGGGCGTGTAGACAAGGCTTCTGAGTAGAGCTAGGGAGCATTTGTTTCTTTGTCTTAATTAGCTTTTCTTATACTTATTTTAAATAGCTTCCTTTTTTTTCAACTTTTTTTTATTGATTTATAATCATTTTACAATGTTGTGTCAAATTCCAGTGTAGAGCACAATTTTTTCAGTTATACATGAAC